GTGGCTGGGCCGGGTGTCACACTGCAAGGGGGTGTCGGGGGGTGCGGCTGGGCTGGGGATCGCGCTGTGGGGAGCGCGGCTGGGTCAGGTACTGAGCTGTGTGGGGGCATTGGGGGGGTGGCTGGGCTGGGGATCACGCTGTGGGAGCATTGGGGGGCGGCTGGGCCGGGTGTCACACTGCAAGGGGCTGTCATGGGGTGCGGCTGGGCTGGGTACTGCACTGTGGGGGAACGTTGGGGGGTGGTGGCTGGGCCGGGTACTGCACTGGCGGGGGGCGTTGGGGGGTGGTGGCTGGGCCGGATACTGCACTGGAGGGGGGCGTTGGGGGGTGGTGGCTGGGCCGGGTACTGCACTGGAGGGGGGCGTTGGGGTGTGCGGCTGGGCCGGGTACTGAGCTGGAGGGGGTAGTTGTGGGGGGTGCCACTGGGCCAGGTACCACGCTGCAAGGGGCTGTCGTGGGGTGCGACTGGGGCAGGTACTGAGCTGTGTGGAGGCATTGGGGGGTGACGGCTGGGCCGGGTACTGCGCTGGAGGGGAGCGTTGGGGGGAGCGGCTGGGCCGGGTGTCACACTGCAAGGGGGCGTCGTGGCATGTATCATTAAGTGGCTCGGTTAAACCATTACAACTACGCTGAATGCAGGAGCTTTTCTGTCTCATCCCAATTCAGCTCTATTGTGCTGACAAGAATCGTTTTCATTATAAAACACTTCATCCCCCTTTAATTAACAGAATTGCTGAAATGTGAATGCGATGGTGCTTCCCCAGAAATAACAGTTTAATATTCAGAGCCGGATGACTGGGTCTGACTGTAAATGCTGCCAACCAGCCTGCCGGCCCCTCCGCTCCCGGGATCAGCCTGCCATGGGGCCAAGGGCTCACCCGAGAGGGGTCCCTCCCACTAGGGCCTTGTTTCTTCCAGTGCACTTTAAAAATGCAAACCCCAAATCTCTCTGAGGGGCATGATGGGCTGTGGGGAAGAGCGTCCCCTAAAGGTCTCCATCCTCCTGCATCCATGCGCTCTGGCCGTGGGAATGGCAGCAGCCCATACAGACTGCATTGGCAGTGGCTCTCACAGGGAAACAATTCTTTCCAAACAGACACAAAGCGAGAAAGGGAGTCTGCAGCCATGGGGCTGACATGGGGAGAGACTGAGCCCCTTGGGTGTAACGGTGGCAGAAATCTGAACTTATCTGCGATGGAGAGGACTGAGGGGGTGCCACATCCAGTTCAGCTGGAGCTATTCCCAGTCCTCTGTAGAAAGGTCTTTCTGGTATAGAGGCTGGAACTGCCCTCAGCTCCCTGTCCTCCACACCCCCCCCGTGCAGCTGCCAGGAGGCATGAACCCCAGGGAAGGGAAGGAGCTTACAGAGCGGTCCGTGAGTCACTTTTTAGCGCACAGGAAAGCAGGTGCTGGATTGAGGGGAGTGCCTGGGAACCTGCTTGAGGTAAGGGAGGCAAAACGGATCCTCCCTTTGATTCATCAGATCGAAGGCAGCGAAAGCGCTGCTTGGAACGTCCAGGGTAATTACAGAACTGAAATAACAGAGTCCGGGGGGAGGTGGGTGAAATTGTGCCTGTCCGTGAGACTGAGGGAGCTGCAGGGATCGGAGACAATGGTGATATCTTCATAATAAATCCTAACAATGATAATCACTGGAATAATTGCTAGTTTCAGAAAGCGAGGCGAGTTAAATGTCTCCAGAACAGCATCGCCAGCTCGTTCAGCGCCTGCAAATGTCATCAGATGGAGAGAGAAAAATGTCTGCTCCTCGCTGTTCAGTGGCTCCTCCTGGCTTCCTTCAACGTGCGGTTCTGAGTAGTGTCCTGGGATGTTTCTGGCTCCCCTGGACTCTGCTTCTTTGCTCCCCTGGGCTGCTCCCATCTCAAGCCTGGCCTTTGGGGAGAGGTGAACGAGGTCATGTGAGGGGCTGGAACCCGGTGCCTGTTAAGGAGCAGACAGTCTGAGCAGGTCAGGGCCAGAAAGGGGAAAGATAGGGCTAAATAGCCTGACCCCCTGCATGTCTCTCACTGCAAGCTCCTGAGTAAGGGCAGGTCTACACTTAAAACACTGCAGCTGCCCCGCTGTAGTGCTGAAGTGAGGACATTCCCCCGGTGGCGTAGTTAATCCACCTCCCCGAGAGGTGGTAGCTATGTCTGCCGACATGGTGCTGTCTACACTGGGGGGAAGGCTATGTCGATGTAACCGCATCTCTCAGGGTTGTAGATTTTCACACCCCGAGCAATGTAGTTACACCAACGTAGGTCTGTCGTGCAGACACAGGCCTCTAGGCTTGATTCTCCTCCTTCAAACCAGGTTCAGGCTAGCACTGACTTCATGGGAGTTACTCCTGATGGTCTCAGAGTCCCCTTGGCAACTACTCTGGGCTTGCCACGTCCCTGGCAGTACTAGGGATTTGTTCTGTGGTAGTGCCTAGGAACCCCACGGCGCGAGGCACTGAACAAGCACGGAACACAACGCTGGGCTCTGCCCCATACAGCTTACACTCCAAGTATGAGAGACAACAGGTGGATTTGTGGTAATGCTGTCCTGGGCCCGGGACAGATCTGTGCTTGGTTGAGCACCCCCATTCACACACCCCTTTCCATGCATGTTCTGGGGCTGTTTGTTTAGCTGGGTTCTGGGCCCGTTCTTGGGGCCTTTCACTGTTTCATATTAAACATCTTTATTTTTGTGCGTTATAATAAAATAGCTGGTACTTAGCTTCTCCTGGTGAAACAAACAACGACAAACCCAGTTGGTGTGGCCAAGCCCCCGCCCAAGTTTGCCCCTGCAGCAGGCACATGAGACATCCTGTTTCCTACGAAATGACCCGGCTCTGTCCCGGCCCTCCCACTGCTGCCCCGGGTGGTTGGGGCTGTTTGCTTGCACAGTTGACAGACTGCTGCAGGGCGATGCCCATGCCCCCCTGCTCTTCCGGGCCCCAGTTGCTCTGCTAATGCTCCTCCCTCAGCTGACCCTGCTGTTACAGCCTTTTCCGGGTCCATAAGTATGAGGAGGCAGGGTCCTGCTGGCAAGTGAAGGTGAAGGGCTCCTGCCTTGTGACCATGCTCTGGCCTGGAGCCTGGCCTACAGGATTCCATGACCTGCCCCCAGGGGCGGGTGGCAGTGAGAAGGGTGCTCCATGGGCTGGTGGGCCGCCCCGGCATTCACACTCACTGCTTCCCCTTTGGCCTTTTCCAGGTGTGATCCGGACGGCAGTGGCCAATCTGGACAGAGAAACTCAGGACCGGTATGAAGTGGTGATCCGAGCCACGGACATGGCAGGGCAGCTGGGTGGCCTGTCTGGATCCACCACGGTCACAATTGTGATCACAGATGTCAACGACAACCCTCCACGATTCCCACAGAGTAAGAGTCGCTGTTCCCCGTCCCGGGGGTCTTGCAGGCAGCCTGGTGCTGAGCCAGCCACTGCTGTGCAGGATTGTTGTTGCTGACTTTGTTTTGGGGTAGCAGCCAGAGAGCCAGTCAGGGACATAGCCCGCTTGTGCTAGGTGTTTCACAGACCCAGAGATCCGGATCCTGTCCCGAGAGCTTGCAGTCTAAGAGGGCAAGTGACGTGGAGTGGGGGAGCCAATCAATGCTGAGTTTTAATGCAGACCCATTTGTTTATTAGAATTCTTCTGGAGTCAGTGTCATCTCTCCCCATTGGCCCTTCAACCTGCCCACCTTGGACTGGCTGGCAGTGCAGAGACACTCTCTGACGCTGGTGGCTCCGGGTGTACAGGAGTACAGGCTGCGGGCCAGGGCATAGTCAGGTCTGTGCAGGTTTCTCTTATTCCACAGGGCAGTGGTGGTGGCAGAGGGGGATCTGACCGGTGATCTGTGCAGGAGTCCTGGCTGCTCCTGCCCCAGCCTGCGGTCGTTGCGTAGTGGGTTTATTACTCCAAGCGCTCTGCAGATCCCAGCCCTTCTCATTAACCGAAGCAGGAGGGGTGTCCCAGGGACAGCCAGCAAACCCTGGGGGAGTCAGTTGGGCTGCAGGACTGTAGGTGTGAGGAGTAGGCTTAGCTGTCTGTCTCTGTCTCCCTCCCTGGGCCTGTAGCACTGGAAGAGGGAGAGTAACCCCCAAACTCCATTGGCAGGTCAGCCCGTCTCTTCCCGCCATCTCGCACAAATGTTAGGTGCCGATTCAGACCTCAGACGCTGGCTTGAATGAGCCCCAGGCCCTTCCTTGCCACCTGGCAGTCCACTAGCCCCTGCCCGCACACCGCGTGCATGTGGGGTGTGACTGAGCTGATCTCTAGCTCCCAAGCCATTGCCAAGCTCTGTGACCTGCAGTGGAGTCCCACCACAGGGACAGAAATCCTGTCACTGAAGAGCTGCTGGCTTGGTCTCTGCCTCGCACACCAGCTGCAGAGCTGTGCAGTGCTTGGCTGGCAGTCTGGGGCAGAGCTACAAAGGTTCTGAGCTGCAGCTGGAGGGAGTTCAGCCCTCTGAGCGCATTTGTATTCCAGACGTTAGCAGTGGGAAATGGGGCTGTGCTAATGCTGTGCCCACAGAGACCTCGGCACTGGCCCTGGACTGGCCAACATCCGTGCAGCTGGTTCTGAGACAGGCTGGTGGGGTTGCCAGACTTCTAGAGACTGGGATGCTCCCTAATGCCTCACACCAGCTTCCTTCATCCAGAGTGGGGTTATTTGCTTTCCCCTCCCCCATGAAAAGCCAACACGCCTTGCACAGAGGTTTAGGAAATGGGGCATCCTCTGGGGTTCCAGCCGGGCCTCATGAAGCCCAGACTCTAGTGTGGCTGCCAAGGATAAATGGGACATTGCACACTAGACAGGACAAAACTCTGCAATCTGTGTGTGCGGGAGCTGAGCCGCACTGGACCAGGGACCAGCCAGGTGTACCCAGTAGGGTTGCTGGCATTCTGCCTGGAGGCTGGCGCACTCACCTAGTGGAGATGCCCCCAGGGAGTGTCTGTGCACTGCCTGAAGGGAACCCGGGGATCAGGGTCAGCAAAGGCCACACTGTGACGCCAAGCCCCTCTCCTCCCCCTTGGCAGAGATGTACCAGTTCAGCGTTGTGGAGACTGCCCTTGTGGGCACTGCGATCGGGAGAGTGAAGGCGGAGGACTCGGATGTGGGGGAGAACACAGACATGACATACCAGATCAAAGATGAGGAGGGGGTGCAGATGTTTAAAGTCACCACAGACAGCAACACCCAGGAGGCGATCATCACCGTGCAGAAGGTAAACCCAGAGGAACGGCACCAGGAGGAGGTAGGAGGTGGAGGCAGAGGCGGTAGGTGGGGGAGGGCAGGGCAGGACTCTCAGAGCAGGACAGAGCCCTTCCCTTTTGATGATACCTTCTAGTGCTGGTGTGTTTCAGAGGCTGGGGAATCGCTCCTGCGAGAGAAGTTGGAAGCCTCAGACCCTCCCCCCAGCTAGCAGGGAGCTGGAGATGTGTCAGGAGAGAGAAAGGGAGAAGCAAAGACTGGAAAGAAAGGGCCGAAGAAAGGCAAGGCAGGCAGGGCACCAGCTCAGGAAGTTGCTGCCCACAGACGCTAAGAGACACAGACAGTTGTGAGAGCGGAATTTACAGAGAGAGACTTTCAGACAAATCCGTGACGAAGGGGTGAATGCTGCCATGCGCGGAAGCAAAGTGTTCAGCGGAGGGGGCTAACGCTAATCCCCGTTATTGATAGCACCTATTAGAGAGCAATATGCCCACGGAATGCCTGAGCCTGACCAACCGCACGCCGAGCGTGTCTGCTTTTTGTGGCAAAAACACTGGGTGCAGGCAGGAAAGAATGAGTGCTCACCACGGCCATTGCATTCCAGTCACCTCTGCTGTAAAAATAATCACAGGGTGATTAATGATCACTACACCATTGGAAATCAGTCACTCGCCCCCATGGTGCGCACTGCCTTCTCAGTGCATTCTGAGTTCCCACATCAGGCCTTAGCTGAACGTAGAGTGGGGGAGGGCAGGAAACGTTCTTCCCAGCAGTAGCCCTGTAGGGTGTGGGCAGGAGAACTCCTAGCTACACATGCCCTGTCCAGCAGGAGCCCTGTAGGGAACGGGCAGGAGAGCTCCCAGCTACACATGCCCCTGCCCGGCAGGAGAACTCCCAGCTACACATGCCCTGCTCAGCAGGAGACGTTGTAGGAGGCATGGCAGGAGAGCTCCCAGGTACGCATGCCTTGCCCAGCAGGAGACGTTGTAGGGGCACGGCAGGAGCTGAGGCTCTGGGCTTCTCCAGTTCTGGCCTCTCCCGGGAGCCCTGGTGGGGTCTAACCCAAAGGAGCAGTAGTGAATGCACCAGAGATGGGAAGGAACCGTCAGATAGTGAATCGCTAACTCTGTCTTGTTGTCTCAGCCCCTTGACTACGAGGCCAAGATGGTTCACACTGTGGTGGTGGAGGCTCTGAACAAGTTTGTGGACCCAAGGTTTGTGGATCTGGGCACGTTCAGAGACCAAACCATTGTGCGGGTCTCTGTGCTGGACGTGGATGAGCCCCCGGAGTTCCGGCCCCCCTCCGACCTGATAGAAGTCCAGGAGGATGCCTATGTTGGCTCTGTGGTGGGAGTGGTCACCGCCCTGGACCCCGATGCTGCAAACAACCCTGTCCGGTAAAATCAACCTTCCTAGCTTCACGTTCTCTTCTGCCAGGTGATGGGCCTGCGAGCGACACAGAGCCCGGCGGGTGCCTGAGAAGGGATTTGGGTGGGAGGCTGAATGACAGGAGAGGGGCATGCAGCAGAGGGTGACAGTGCCGGGTAAGAGGGGACAGGCAGGCGAATGGGTGACACAGGGCAGGCGTCTGGCAGGTGAGTGACAGAACCAGTGTGCAAGTAGCAGATAGGTGAGGGCACAAGCCAGGTGAGTGACAGATATGTCATTGGCACATGATGGGAGTTTCAATGGCAAAGGAATGCCAGAAAAGGGGAATGGGTGATGCTCATACATACGTGTGAACGACAGCAGGGCAGCCGCAGAGAACAGGCTAGTGAGTGACCAGAGACGACAGATAGGCAGTGAAGAAGACTGACAGATGTACAGTGTGGCGTGTGCTGTGGGGCGTGCAGTTGGAGCCAGACGCAGGGGCTGGGTTCACGGGAGGGATCAGAGACCAATGGAGTTGATGTTTGGGCAGGGGCACACTCTGGGCAGCAGCTGATCTGCACAGGACGTTTCCCGTTTCCATTCATTTGTGGCTAAGGAAATTGAGAGTTAAACTCTCATTACCTATGGCACAAAATCCGCCTTATGGCTCTGCCAAGTGGCCTGAGTGGTGAGCGGTGGCAATGAAAAGCTGATGTAAAGAAAACATCCTGGACTTGTGGAAAATTCCCTTGGAAGGCTGGGTGTTGTGGTGCCTGGAATCTCTGTGCTGCGGGTCTCTGTACACAGCTGCTCGCTGGAAATGGAGCATGGCCGTGTGCTGGAAAGGAGACCTGCATACTGACCCAGGAGTAGCCTGGAGCCAGCGCATTGTGGCCTTGGATTCAAGAGCTTTATCCTGGAGCTGTTCCTGATGACAGAGAACAGGGCAGAAAGTAGGAGCAGGGACTCCAGAGAGGAGCGCACAGGATGGAAGGGGAAACAGCTGATGACAGCCTGTGAATATAATCAGCAAATGACACAGAGAGATAATGTTCTAACAGGCCTGCTCAGGGCCACAGCAATGCACTGGGGAATGCACCGTGCCTGGCTGTTTGGTGGGGAGGGAGCGTCCCAAAGCCTCGCACTGGACCTTCGAATTAACATAGAACCATGTAGGAATCCCCACGGGAAACTTTAAACATAGAATCATAGAACTGGAAGGGACCTCGAGAGGTCATCTAGTCCAGTCCCCTGCACTCGTGGCTGGACTAATTATCTAGACCATCCCTGACAGGTGTTTGTCTAGCCTGCTCTTAAAGGTCTCCAATGATGGAGATTCCACAACCTCCCTAAGCAATTTATTCCAGTATTTAACCACCCTGACAGTTAAGAAGTTTTTCCTAATGTCCAACCTAAACCTCCCTTGCTGCAATTTAAGCCCATTGCTTCTTGTCCTGTCCTCAGAGGTTAAGAAAAACAATTTTTCTTCCTCCTCCTTGTAACAACCTTTTACATATTTGAAAACTGTTATCATGTTCCCTCTCGGTCCTCTCTTT